GTTTGGCAGTGGTTTTGACTGGCAGAGAGCAGAGGGTGGAAGGGAAAGAGCTCTCTGCTGGGCTCTGCTCGGCTGTCCCATCAGGCCTAGGGCGGTTACACCGCTTGTCCTCATTCCTTGTCACTACTCACTTCTTGCCCTTAATTCAGCTGCCATCACTCACTCTGCCCAGACCCCAGCTATGATAATGGACACCACAAGTTCTTTTTAGCACGTGCTGGTGGCTATTACCTCCTCCGTGAGGATGCTGTGAGGACAAAGTATAAGTGCGACCTTTGTGTGGGCCGGTTGGCTTTGTTTGTTTCATGGTGACTCCAGCCTGGTCTCTGGTGACAAAGAGGTTGGGCATCTCTGTGGCTCTAATATGGCGGTTCTCATTCACTAAGAACCTTCTCTGTGTTAGGCGATGTTCTTGTGCCTTTTCCTACACTGACCCTATTCTTCACACAGCTGACCCAGCGTCACAGGGAGACATTAAACTTAGGTTCGGCTCTTAGCCACACTTGACGTGCTTTTCCGTGGAACAGGCTTCCTTAGCCTACTGAAAGTGTCAGCACAACTGAAACATTTGTTGCTGTCACTGAGGAGTGAACAGTAAATGGTGGCAGCACTCAACAGAGGACCAACAGCAAGTGCTTGGGACCCAAAGGGGTCTTTACCAGACAAGACATTCGCTGGGGCTTCAGGGCTCTCCAGGTCCACAGAGGGTGTTGGTAGCATTCTGGCACAACAGCCATGCCCGGACATGTCCTTCTCAGGAAGTCCAACAGGCTCCACCTCCTATAGTGGTCTGCTCTTTGAGGTAAACCTGTCTGCTTCCCATCTGGCACCCTGCACCCAGACACTCAGAAGTCCTGGTTCCTTTCAAGAGTTTGACTCCCATATGCTTAGCATTCAGGAATGTGAATCTCACGGTTTTCAGCTCAGACCTTTGTGCCTGAGGGCTGATTGTGGGAGACTCAAAATACTGAATTTATTTATTAAGCAATCCTTTCGTTTTTCTTTCTTCCTTGTTTCCCTGTTTTCTTTTCTTTCCTCTAACCTCCTGATGCCCAAACTCTGCAATGCTGACGTGGCACTATGCTCACTGTATCAAACTTCTGATTACATTATTCTAATAGGCTTCATTTTTATCAATATTTAGCTCTTTTGTCTAGCACTGGGGATTGAAAAAAAGAAACTGCAGAATTGCATTGTTCACACTCACACATACCATTTTGACTCAGCTATCAAAATGTTCACAGAAAAAGGTCTGGACAGAGTCTAATGGTCTAAAAACTGAAGTGAGCCCCCCCTTTGAAGGTTGACATTTTGATGGTTAATGATTTTATATTTTTAAAATTACGTGGCTTTTAGCTGTGATTATTAATCATCTTTTGAATCATTTTATAAGGAAGGGTGTTTTCAAGTTATAATGGTAATGTGGGGCTAGGTTTATTTGGCAAATATTTATTGATTGCCTATTATGTGTTAGGCACTTTCTAGATCCCAGACATTCAGTGTAATACAATGTAAGGCAGAAAAACTACCCACATTTGAAAACTAATTTGAAAACTGTGAAAAATTATAGCAGCGACATCATGCTAAACAAGCAAAAATAAATCAGTGAAATTAACAACATATTTTTAACCCAACACATGCAAAATATTCTGACATATAATTACAGTTATATGTCACTTAATGATGAAATACAGTCTTTTTTTTTGTACCAGGAATCAAACTCAGGGCCTTGCGTTTGACAGGCAGATACTGAGCTACATCAGGGTACTTTACTGGCTGTCCTACTGGATAGCTTTAATAAGGCTACTGAGCTACGTTTCCATCTTTTTCAGATTTTACCTTGAGACAATGTCCTGCTAAATTGCCTGACTGGCTTTGAAATTGTAATTTTTTTGCCTCAGCCCCTCCTGTAGCTGGGATTACAGGAACGAGCCATCATGCCTGGCTTCTTTCTTCTCCTCTGGTGTTTTTGCCATGATGCATCTGTTACACTGCTACAGTTTGGATATCAAGTACCCCTCAGAAATCCAAATATTAAGATTGTGGTCACTAGGGTGGTGTTACCGGGGGGTGGGGAACCCGTAGGAGGTAGGTCCTTTGGTCTTTGGGGGTATCTCCTTGAAGGGATTGTGGGAACTCAGCCGATTTCTCCTTTTTGCTTCCTGAATATATGAGCAATTTGCTGTGCCGCCTGCTCCCTGCCGTTGCTATCTGGGCTGCTACTACAGCCCAAAACAATGGATCGACCCTATCTTGGACTTAAATATCCAAAGCTTATGAGACGAAATATAACTTCTTTCTTTATAAGTTAATTACCTTAAGCATTTTGTTAAAGCGATGGAAAACTGACTCATATGTATACCTTTCGTATAATTTTTCCACAATTTTTATATTTCTGTATTTCTTCCTTTAGTCTTTTTCTCTTTGCTTATCAGTTCCGGCAAGTTCAGAGATACTTTCCTTCTCTGTGTAGAGTCCCCTAATACACTCATCAAAGACCTATTTCATTTCCTTTCCAGTGTATTTAATCTTTTTCTTAGACTTTCCATCCTTCTGCTTAACATTACCTAACCTTGCCGTGCTGTCTACTTTATCTATTAGAGATTTTTGCCTACAAATCTTAGTTGTTTTATAGTCTGGCCTGGTAGTTCCAACGCCCCTGCCTTATCTAAACCTAGTTCTGTGGCTAACTCTGTCTCTTTGGATTGTGTTGCTTACTTTATGATTGCGCGGTAACTCTCTCATTTTGCTAGCTGCACATGATGTAATAGGAACTGTTATAAATAGGCCTTTAGTAACATGATGGTCCAATGCAAGAAAAAGGAAGCATTCGCTCATCCTCTGAGTAGGTCTCAGTGCCTTAGCCTTGCCTCTGGGTGCTTTTCAGTCCTCCCGCTGCTTGGCTACAAGGGGCTGGAGTTGATTATTTCTTTTCTCTCAGTTTAGTTAGGCTCTGGCTAAATCCTTTCTTCTGAGGGCAGATGCTCTGGCATATATCAAAATGCTTAATTTTCCCCTCTCCCTGTCAGAAGTGTGAAGGGAATTTTGTCTTATATTCATTCTAAGACTATGGTTGAGTTCCTGAAGATCAAACACACAAAAGCATGGAGACACCCACAGGACTGGAGTGTTAGATGTTCAGATTTGTCCACAGTGTGCCTCCACAATTCACTAATCACACGTTGGGTTTCTGTACTCAGCACTGATTCCCATAGAGGTTTATGCACGTGAGTCTCTGCTCTAGAAATTGTGATTCTCTTTATTTTCCTACCTCTCCAATTTTAGGGGCAGTAGTTTGCACCATGAGCTTCCATTTTCTGTGGACCTAAGGAGAGTTGTTCACTTTTCAGTCTGTTCAGCCTTTTATTTACTGTAGGAGGAAGTGGAGACTTCCAAGCTTCTTACATGCTGAACTGGAAAGCGTCTTGTCTTTGAAATGTGATGTGCATTACAGTTTGGTTATGGTTTGTTTCCCCCAAGAGGTCACGTTTTTAAATTTTTGTTGTTATGGTTTAAGTATCTCTCAAAGGTCCATGTGTTATGGTTTGGTCCCCAGAGTGGTGTTATTGGGAGGTGGTGGAGGCTTTAGGAGGTGGGGCCTAGTGAGAGGTCCTAGGGTCACTGGGGTCATTCCCTTGGAGGACACTGTGGGGCCCCAATCTCTTTCTTTGTGTCCCCGCTCAAGAGGTGAGCAGTTTTCTCCAATACATGTTCTTACCATAATGTTCTTGCCAGAGGCACAAACTAATGGGACTGTTCAATCTTGGACCAGAATCTCTATGAGCTAATCCTTTTTAAAATAAGGTGATTACCTCAGGCATTTCATTATAGTGTTTGAAAGCTGACTAACATACTCATTGTGAAACATATTAAAAAGGTGAAGGCTGGTACTGAGGTGGTGCTTTTGGAAAATGATTAGGATTACATAAGGTCAGCATGATTGATTGAATCGTGGTGGTTTATAACGGGGGAGAGATCAGAACACACATGCATGTGTACCCCTTGTCTCTTGTCATGTGATGCCATGTCCCACCTCAGGACTGTGCCAAGATGAAGGTCATAATGTGGGTCCTTGACCATACAGAAAACACAGCAGTGGACTAAATATACCCTTCAGGTTTTTTTGTTATTGTTGACCCCACCATTAGGGAAAGGGCTATAGCATGACGGTCACTGTCCCAGAGGCTCCAAATTTCTTTCTTTTATAAAGTTGCTCAATTTTGTTTTAAAAATTGTTCATTTAATATTAAATTATGTGACATTTTATACTTTTTTGGCCATCTAATATTTGGTGTGTGTTTGGCTCTTACAGCATATGTTGATTAGAACTGGCCACCTCCTCATTAGCCAGATGTGGCCCATGGTTCCTGTATTGGAGAGCGCACTTCTAAGTGGAACCCTGTTTGCCTGAGGATTGGGTGATTAACTGTCATCTTGGGCATAAACCTTCCCATGTGAGGTTAATTAACTTTTGCACAGCAATCCAAAAGCCCTGTTAGAGTTTTCTCTACTTAGTCTATACCTCGATTCGCCAAGTGTTAAAAAGCACACAATAAGCGTTTGCTACATGCTTATTAATCTTAGGGAAAGCAATTCTTTATTATCCTCGAGTTATTTCATATTTAACCTGGGGCTCTTTTCTCCAAGATGCTGAATTTTTCCTTTTTGTTCTAACCTCAATTTACTTCAGCAGATTTGAGTATGGAACTTTCTCAGGCTTTTTGCTATTTCTGTATATCTGATTGGCTTTGGTAGCTTCTTAATTTTGTCCCTGACAGCAGGTGGATTGGAATATTTGGCCCCGGATAAGCAAGACTTCCCAACTTGCCACTGTTCCAATTTAGTGACTGCCTTCTTAAAGAAGTGAGCCAAAGGACAGACTCAGACTCATATCACACACAGGCTTTCTATGTTCTTTAGGACAGGGAAAGTGAGTATCTTCCTGCCTAGTACCTCAAACCTTCATTGGTCTGCAGAGGCAGAGCAGGAATGTTTCTCACCCAGGATTGCTGGTGCTTTTGGTAGAACTCGGTGATGTTAAAGTCATCCAGGTCGACCAGAAGGTCTTGCTTACACATCTCACAGGTCTTCACAGCATTTAGATCTGTTCCTTGAATTCAATAAAGAATTACATGTGAGAATAGATCTTAAATGTTCTCACCATGCATAAACACACACATTCACTCACATACATACAAAGAAAATTTTATGTATACACAGTCCTAGATCTGTTTGCACTGGCACTTTGGATAGGTGGTATTTTGAGACTGAATTTGAGTGTGATGTGAATTCTGAGCTTCAGTGACCTTCATTTTAAGTCTGTAGAAAATGGCCTTGAATCTGAGATTGAAAGATTTTCATTTGTGATCACTTATTATGCAAGCTTCACTTAAGTGAAATTCCCATGACTTTTAAATAACAAACCTTGTTTCTATTTAAATATAAACATAATGGCTCATGAACTGGAATTGTTACACGGAAGTTAACAGTCTATAACACCAGTCTTTAGAAAAAGAGTAAGTACCAGGCCTGTTTTGTTTTCTTGTAGATCTAACAGAGATCCAGGTAAATAAATTCATGAGGACTAACTAGATGGCAGAAGCTATCCTCAGTCAGAGGCTTAAAAGTCTGCATTTACTCCTCCCCAGGTGCCATTCCCCCTGAGAAAAGTTACAGCGGGCTCTCGGGCCAGCACCTAAGCCTGGGAAGAGAAACATGAGAAGGCTTCCTGGGTTGTTTTTATAAAAACATGCATTTCAGATCAGCACATTTCTCCACTTCCTCTACTCTCCAGTCAAGAATAGGAGCTGCAGAGCTGTGGCTGTTATATCTAAGCCTGCTGCTGTACATTTTCCTCCCAGTGTAGATGCTGCACTTTGATTGATGTTTGTATTATGCATTAGAAAAAAAGAGGACCTGTTAGTTATTTGCATCCACTTAGGAATTAGGACCGGTGTAGGTTTATACTCCAGTTCTATTTCCCACTGGAGATATAAATAAACAGTAAATAACAGAGACTTTTTAAAGGACAAGGATGAATAGGGAACCCTTATCTGCATTTTGCTTGCTTGATTTTTCTTTTTTAGCATCATTTAGTAATGTTTTTGGTTACTGGACATCCTGTTTATCTTCCAACATAAGTCTGCCAAACATATCCATCCTAGTATTGGCATTTAACCTCATTTTCATGACACTTCACAGGTTCTTTTTTCTTTGCTAGATGCTTTATGGACCAAACTTCTAGGATAAAACATTGTATGTCATAGTCATTAGAAACCTTGTTTTGTTTCGTAGTTATTTGCTTGCTCTGAAGACATACAATTAGCCATCTCAGGATTAATCCTGTATTTCTCATTCTGGGGAAAGATGTACACATGGAAATAGAACTTTGGGGACAAGACAGTTAATACTCGGTGTTCATTCTCTGATTAAATGGTGCACTGTTGTTGGTGTAGGGACTTGGCAACACTTCATGGAGACAGGGTAAAGCTCCAGGTCTTGTAGGTGGCCTGCAAGTGTGGTAATGTGGCCACAGAGAGAAACAGGATTTGGTCACAAAGTAAGATTTTCAGAGAGGCATGTCTGAAGGGCAGCAGTTATTTTCTCATTGAATTGCTTGCACTGATGCCTTATTTTTCTTGTTAAAATTGTGCTCAGTTCTAAACCCATGTTTTAAAGAAACCTATTCTCTGCCAAGAAACGTACAGCTGATCTACCAGTGTGGCTAAATTTAGGCTGTAACTTCTCCAGGGAGTTGAGAAGGAGCTTCACACCCAGTTATAAGATCAAACTGACAAAATCAGAACATGGAAATCTCTTTATCTAATGTAGGTCTACAGAATCAGATCAACATTCTTATCCTGCTGCAGCAGCTCTGCTTGGTCTCCTAGGTGACACCCATCCTCCTCACCCCAAATAAAAGGAAGTAGAAGCGTGTGCATTCGTGGGGAGTCTCATGATGGACTCTCTGGATTGTTTCTACTAAATGCCTACGAGTTGGGCATGGCTACTGCACGAGGGTTGAGATTCAACACTGACTCACTTCTCCTTCCTTCTGGGAGGTGATGTTAGCATCTCTGCGCAGGCCTCAAGCAAGAGTAGGATTCAATTGCAACTATTTCCATGATTCTTTTCTCAGACTTGAAAAGCATTCATTTTCCCTTCCCCCCAATAACTTGAAGGCAACATTTTTGAGGAAGAATCCTGAGCAATTGACAAGGTTCCAAGGCCCATACTGTGGTGCCTTAAATTAATTATATGTCACTGCACGTTTACTCCTCTTCTTTCCCCACCTACCTGATGTTATTTTCACTTTCAGCCACGTTTTCAAGCACTTTTGGTGAACAAACCGCAGGCTTCCCACACATCTGCAAGGCTCCAGGAGGGGGTTGGTCGGGGAACTCCCTGCTATCTGACAGATGCGACACAAGTCTCCCTCCTCCTCTGAGTCCTCCTCCAGGAGACTAAATGGAAAAGAATTCATCGTGACCAAAAGTCTTTACTTTGCAGTTTCTGCAAATATACTGTGTTTCAGGTCATTCATGGGCGAGGGAAGAGGGAATAACATCCCTGTGCCTTACTGCTGGGGCTTCTGTGGTCACTTTTCTCCCTCTGACCCTGGTCAGAATTCCTCCAGAATTACTGATAGTCAGTGCACCAATGAGGGCTATTTTGTAGTTGTATGTGTGAGCTCACTAGGCAAATCAAGAAATGAAGTCAGGACTTTATAAGGTTGAGACAGGAGATTGCAAACTTGACCCAACCATGGGAAACTAGAGGCTTAGTAAAACTTTATCTTTAAATGAATGAATGAATAAATAAACAAATGTAAATTTACCTTTAAAAAGGGCCGTGGGTGTAGAGTCAATGTGAAGACACTGGGTTCAATCCCCTGGGATGGGGCTGGGGAAGACAGGGGTGGAATTAGGGATGTAGCTAAGTGATAGAGTTCTTGCCTGGCATTTGGAAGCCCTGTGTTCAATACCCAGCGATGGAGGATAGAAAAAAAGTAGACAAAAGAGTGGGGCTTGGTGGTACACCCCTGTAATCTTAGCATTTGGAAGGCTGAGGCAAGCGGATCATTGCAAGTTCAAGATCAGCCTGGGCTACAAAGTGAACCCAAGCCAAGCCTGAACTGCACAGTAAGACCTTGTCTCAAAAAACCAAACCAAAACAAAACAAAAACAACAACAAAAGAAAAGAAAAGAAGAGAAGAGGAAGCGAGGGATAAACCTACAGGGAGAAACTGTGGTAAAGGCCAATAGCCCCTCTTCTCCATAGCCACCAGAAGAAGTTGGTAATCCGGTATCTTGGTGAGCTTGTGAGACTTGTGGTCAGGGCTTCTGGGTTTGAGGCCGCCTCTCAAACTTTTGAATCATGTGATCTTGAACAAGTTCCTTTAATCTTTCTAAGACTGTTCCCTCTGTGTATAAAATGAGGTAAAGTTCATGGTGGCATCAACTGCAGTTGCAAACTCCACTAAATTGTGGGCAGACTGGGTACAGGATGATGGCGAACCTGTTTTGCAAACTGTAAAGTGCATTCCGTGTCTGGCGAAGCAGTCACACACAGGGACCCTCAGTAGATTTGGAAAAATGAACCAACACACCTGAAAGTGGGCTCGTCGGTAACATAACCCTTGCCAACAACTGAGGTCCATGTTCCAGAATGTAAGCTACTGGAATTTGATAAATGCAGAATTAATGAAAATGAAAGCAGAAGTGTAAGTGGTGAGTAAGGAATAGCTGGCTGCTGTTTGTGTTGAGAGGATTTAAGAGGTTTGTATCTCTTTTTTTAGATTTCTCACAGGACTGGGGCAGTTTGGTCAAGAAAAGGAAACTGGCTGGAGACTGATACCAAAGAAGAGGAAAAATGGGCACTATTCTGGATATAGAAACGTATGCTCAGTTGGGCTGGGGATTTAGCTCAGTGGCAAAGCACCTGCCTTGCAAGTACATGGTCGTGAGTTCGATTCTCGGTACCACTAAAAAAAAATGTATGCTCAGTCTCTTGGAATATGTTCCCTACAAAAGGGAAACTAATGAAGAAGAATTGTAATTTTCCGTTGTGAATATTCTGAATAATTGCAAGTATTTTTAGTAGTGAGATTTTAATTTACTTCAATATAATTTTTGCTGTTTTCATAAATAGTCTAAAAAAACAAGTATACTATGGAGTAAATACCTCAACTGATGAAGATAAACTATAGGGAAACCTAACAAGTCTGAGAAAATGATGGGAAAATAGCAGAAATTTAGAGAAATGTGAGATATAACCTTTGAAAACAAGTGATCTAAATCACTTGTTCCAAATGAAAATAAAGATTATCAGGTTCTCCGGTAGGCATTTTCAATACAGATTCTTGGGCTGTAGCCTTGGTGATCCTGGTTCAGTACTTAAATTCCAGGTCTGAAAATCAGTGATCTAAGGTGTTGGGATCAGGGGCTATACTACAAATTGTTTATAGTTTACGAATGCCTAACTCATAATTCCATCTTCTCAAAGGTATTAGTGGGAATCTGCAGACATATTTTTTTGGGAAACCCCACATCTTTACAAATAAAAGTAAAGAAAAGACAAAAAAGTACAGAAACAAAGGAAAAAGGAAGCATATACTTATTACCCTAAATAGCTACTCAAAAATAATCCAGGGTACTACTTTCCACTAGTACTTCTGTGGACATTTTGTTTTTAGAGAGGTGAGCTTGCTCTTGGGATTAGATCAAGACATCAGGTATCTATGCCCCTATCTCTTAAAAATCCCCTAACAGATAATTACATAGAATGAGTCCACAATAGTGTTGGTAAACAAAACAGACCAGAAAATCTATGATGACAACTGACAAGAGGAGAGGAATCCTCAGCCCAACACATGGCCGCAGGAGCAAGGTGTTGGGAAGGGAAGGGCAGATCCAGAGGAATTCGTACCTGGAGGATGGGGTGGGCACCAACACAGGAATGTGGGAATTAGAAGGAAGCTACCAGTTCAGGACTTGCTTCGGAATGGTGGGGTTAAATACCCGGGCAGCAGTGTCCCAAGTGCCTTTTCCAAGGCCAATACCCTGGAACAGATCACTAAAGAAAGGGAACTCTCCTTGAAGCCCAAAGTTTAAAAATAAGCTTATGAATATCATCCATTTACACAAAGCTCCCATAGGGAAAGGATCACAGAGGAAGCAAGGCACACCACTGTCGGTGGTGACCATGTTGGGCGCTTCTTTACTAAATCACCCAATACTTCCTTCATGATACAGTTGGGATCACCTGTTGGCAAAAAGAAAACAGTCAGTCAAGCCTATCAGAAATGCAGAGTGCAGGTGGAGGAGGAGTTAGCTTTCAGGAAGAGTCCAGAGGATGTTGCTCACTGCAAAGTACAAGGAGCAACCTCAAGTAAGAAGGATTTTTGGGGAGTCAAAAGAGTACGATTAACAAATTTTTTAAAATCCCAGGTGTAAAAGATAATTCAAAGCTAAAAGTATAATACTGCTCAGTCAAGGCTGGGGATTTAGCTCAGCAGCATAAGCGCCTGCCTTGCAAGCGTGAGGTCGTGAGCTCGATCCCTGGTCCCCCCCCCACAAAATTGCTCAGTCTACCAAGAATATATTAGTCATTACACTTAGTGAGCTAAATAAAAGGAAAAGTTACGAATACGAAGAAGAGTGGATGAATCCAAATCATAGTGGGAGGTTTTAATAAACACCTTCCAAAAATGGATACATTCAATGGAAAAAAATAAAGAATGGAAGATTTTAACATCAAGTTTTTAAAGCTAGTACATATATTAACTACATATGCTATATCTATATATCTATGTCTCTTAGCACATTTGTAAATGTTGAATATGGATTGAATATGGATTGGGACACAAAAAACCTTTTTATTCAGATCACGTTTTCTGAGATCACAATGTAATTCAATTAGGGTAGGCAATAAAATTTTAAAATGAAAGATAAAGGGAGAATTATATGAAATATTCTTAAAAATCCATAAATCTATAGTACATAAAAGTAGATAGTTGATGCAGGATTTCAGGAGATTAATGAAACAGAAGTGAAAGTTCACAGGCAGACTGAAAGAAATAACATATGCCAAAGAAGACATTTCAAAGTAGTCAGGAATGGACATAATGATTGTGGGTAAACTGGCCAAAAGACTTTAGAACCTCATCTTATACCATACATCAAAATATATTCCATATAAATGCATGTATAGCTACTCTCTATTAGGAGCTTACTGTGTGGTAGGCATCCTATGACATATATAAATATTTAAAACCTGATTTAATTTTCATTGCTCTTTGAGAAAGGAATAGATACATATTTTTTTGGATAGAAATGAAAGAATTTAACCAAAATCATAGTTACTAGTTAATAGAATCAGGAATCAAAATGCAAGAAAATAAAGTCCATATTTTTAACCTCTGTGGTGTATAAAATGAGAATATAAAAAATACTGAAGAAAATAATTATGAACATTTAAGTGGTCAGCAGGTTTTCTTTTTTTATCTTTTTCCTTTTTATTGGTACCGGGGATTGAACTCACGACTGCCTGCTTGCAAGGCAGGCACTTATGCCACTAAGCTAAATCCCCAGCTCCAGTCAGCAGGTTTTCCTTAGAAATGCAGACACCATAGGGGATACATTGCCAGATTTGATTACAATAATTTCAAAATTCTACATGTCATAAACATTTACATAAAACATAAATGAGAAACAGAAAAAGTACTGGCCCATTATTTGGCAGAGGATTGCTAATGATTTTATTTTAAAATGTTTATATTTTCTAATAGGTAAAAACAACACTAATATCTCAATAGAAGAATGGACAGGGGACGTGATCAAGTAATGATGAATGAAAAAAATAACTAACAATAAACACAGAAAAAATTCAGTGTCACTGATCATACATTTTGCATAATGAACTCATCACAATCCTTGGAAAGGATTAGAAAAACATTAGAAAAATATGAAATCCCAGGAACTGGCAGGTATGCCAGACTATATAAAAAGACTATATAGCGGGAGACTGTAAATACGTAGAACTTCCTTAAAGAGTAAATTGATAATACACACTGAAGACCTTAAGAATGTGCATTCTTCCTTGAAAGCAGGCAGTCGTGAGTTCGATCTCTGGTACTGGTAAAAACGAAAAAGCCAAAAAAAAAAAAAAAAAAAAAAAAGAATGTGCATTCTTAGCTGGGCATGGTGGCTTACACCTATAATCCCAGCTCTTGGGAAGCTGAGACAGGAGAATCTTTGTGAGTTTGAGACCAGCCAGGGCTACAAAGTGAGCTCAAGATGAGTCTGAACTGTATAATGAGATCATCTCAAAAAGACAATAAATAAATGAATAAAACTTATTAAAAAAAGAATGTGCATTTCTTCTCATTAAAGGTTACACATTTAGGAACCTATTTGAATTAATTAATTATGGATATGCTAAAAAGTGTCTCAAATAACAAAAAATACTCAATGTAAAATCAACAGTTTTTAAAAAATTAATTTATATAATACGTGTCATCTAAGTTATTGCTGTAAATTTTGTATCTGTTTTTTTCTTTTTATCGGTACCAGGGATCAAACTCACGACCACCTCCTTGCAAGGCAGGCACTTATGCCACTGAGCTAAATCCCCAGCTCCTAAATTATGTATCTGTAAGATGCACACACACACACACACACACACACACACACACACACACACATGTTAGATGTTTTATAAGGTTAAAAAGGACCAAAACTATAAGGTTGGAAGGAAAGAAACTGAAATATTTACAACCGAAATTATTTGCTACGTAGAAAACCCAAATAGTAATCTATAAGTCAAATATAATAATTAGATTTAGCAAAAACAGTCAATTACATTCATATGTCAACAATGGAGAGTTAAAAGTAGAATTTAAAATATTGTTTGTAGGGGGCTGGGGATTTAGCTCAGCAGCATAAGTACCTGCCTTGCAAGCAGGCAGTTGTGAGTTCGATCCCTAGTACCAATAAAAATGAAAAAAAAAAAAAGTAAAAAAAAATATTGTTTGTACAGCAAATAGCAGTAAATAAAAGAATCTAAGATAAAGGGCTTTTTAGAAGAAAATCAAAACCACCCTGAAAGGCACTAAAGATGACACAATTATTAAAGAAAAAAATCAATATTTCAAAATTATCAATTCTCCAAGAATGACCTATAAATTCAATGTAATTCCAACAAAAATCCCAATAAGTAGATAGTCAAGGTCTCTTTACAGAACACTCTGGAGAGGAAGGCTGTCCACTGTCACTTACTGCAGTTTGCAGACATTAGGATGACGTGGTATTAGAAAGACAAAAAAGATCAATGGAACAGAATGGAGAGCCCTGTAAGAGATGTGTACAGGGCCTGGGATTTAGCTCAGCGGCTTAAGCGCCTCCCTGGCAAGTGTGAGGTTGTGAGTTCAATCCCTGGTACTGAAAAGAGAGAGAGAGAGAGAGAGAGAGATGTGTTACTCATGACAGAAGTGTGCTGTGCTGATCAGCAGGGAAAATCCTTGCCCAGTTGTGTATTTATAAGGGAAAGAAAAAAGCCTACCTCGTAACACATATTAAAACTCATTTCGCACGAATACAAAACCCATTTCATTTCATTTAAATCTTAAATGTGCAAAGTAAAACTAGAAGTTTTAAAAGAAAATAGGAAGAACATCATAGTGACCTCTGGTTTGGAGCATATTTTTTTAAAAATGAAAATGAGATGTCTAATTATAATCCATAAAGAAGATGCACGCATTTGATTACATTTAAGTGAAGAATTTGTTTTTACTAAAATACATCACTGAAAGACAAACGACCAATCGGGAAATATGTCCAATACAGTCAAAGGATTAGACAAGTAGCTAAAATATATAAAGGATCTCTTTTAAAAAACCATAAATATTTCATAGAATTAATAACACAAGAGAGCACCTAAAATGCCTAACCTCATTAACAGTTTATGAAAATGCAAATTAAAGCTACAATATCATTCTATTCTCATCGGACTGGCAAATTGGAAGGCCAGTCAATGTAAGTATTGTCAAGGATGTGTAACAGTAGATATTACTGGTGGGACAGTAGATTGGCATTGTTTAATATACAGAAAGATGTGCTTCTCTCCAGCTTAGTAATGCACTCTTAGCCCATTATCCCAGAGAATTTTTCCCAAATGTAATTGTATTTGGATTTACAAGAATCTGCATGCAGTGCTGTTTGCAGATAACAGTGAACAATCCAAATGTCTGACAGAAAGACATGCAGATCACTAATGCAGTAAGGGAGAAATTCAAGTCACAGAAGAATAGAGCTTCCATTTATAGAGTCCAAAAATACACACAGTGATTTAAAAACACATACATTCATGTAGTAAAAGCATAAAGCAGGAAAATCTCCCAAACACAATAAAACTAAAAGCAAAGAATGACAAATACAATGTAAGAATGGTCATGGGGGGGACAAGGGGGGACAAAGAACTTTGGGTACGTGAGGGGCTTGGGAGGGCTCTAGTATGTCAAGCATGTTATGTTAGCTAAGGGTGGGCACAAGGATGGCTGCTTTTTTCTTGGTGTGCATTTTTAAAAAATTCTTTTAAACACATGTGGATACATGTATACACATATGTATATATACATATAAAGTGTATCTATACACATCACATACATATACTTATTTGTATGAGGGGAAAATTTTTTGAAAGCAGAAGTGGCATTAACAAATGGGCCTCGAAATAGAAATATTGTTTATAAAACAGTAATGTTTACTAAAATTGCACCTATGTGCAAAAACAGAACCCTGGAAGTTAGGCATGGTGGTGCATATCTGTAATTCCAGTTCTTTGAGAGGCTGAAGCAGGAGGATCAAAAGTTCAAGCCCAGCCTGGGCAACCTAGCAACTTAGTAAGATCCTGATTCAAATTTGAAAAGGGCCTGGGGGATGTAGTTCAATGTGAAGACCCTGAGTTCAATCCCTGGTACTACCAAAAAAAAAAAAAAAAAAAAAAAAAAAGAAAAAGCAGGGTAGATATTTTTCTTTTATGTCATTTAAAAAATAATTTCCTAAAATAGACACTTTTCAAATAATTTAAAAAATATATGGTGTATTATACACAGAAAAAACAGCATCTGGTAAACTAAATCCTCTATAAATATAGTTATTCAATGCATTAGCATGCCTTAGAAGTGCATGCAATTTAAAAGCAATTATTTTGAGCCCAAAGGCGTCACTGTAGGGAGGCAGGAGTTCAGAGTTCTGAGAAGTCTGAAGACATCTTTCTGGGCTGTCAGCTGAGAATAGGTGGTCATGAGGCCTCTTGTCCTTAACATGGACCCCTCTTCTGGTAGCCCTTTTACTATGGGAAAGAAAAGGTCCTTGCAGCTAGAACAGCCTTTATTTCTGGAGCTGGATAGCAGACATGGAGGAGTATATATGCAGCCTTTGTTTCATTCTCTCCTCGTTTTTTTCATTTTTAATTCATTGCCGTGGAATTCTCCTGCTTACAAATGAACATCAATAGGATAATTAATGGTCCAAATGAGCCATACTGACTTATACACAAAGAGGGCTCACATTCCAAGAATCAATTTCCAGATCAGTAAGTCAAGATTAGTAAACACCCATCATAAATGAAATGGTAGAATTCTGACACAGCTGTTTAAGAATGACTTTTAAAAGTATCGAATTTCGTAGCTGTGAACTATCCCAAAATCACTTCCCGAGAAAGGAAAGATCAAAGAAAAGGGCAATTTTAAAAAGATCTTGTTTTCTCTCTGTCTCATGCATGACAAAGAGCACATGAAATGGAGTCAGTGGTTACCCTGGCGCAGGCCTTCAGAGAATGAAGTAACTATGGTAACTGTTTGGAACCAGTCTTTCAGTTTGGAAGGTTCAAATTCTAGAACTGTTAGATTCGCGACAAGTCCCGGGAGGGGGAGCTGTGAACTTCAAGCGCTGAATGGTTCCTTCTCTGGGGAGGTGGCAACCTTTTCATTAAAAATCCTGGTTCCTAATTGGTGGGGAGAAGTCTTAGCCCTATGTAGCTGTCAGAAACCATTATACCTAGCAGACTTCCCTTTCTAAGAGTTACAGGATTTAAGGAAAAACCATTTGGGAATCCTGAACGAACAGAACATGAGCAGCAAGCTTTATACACATATATTTTAAGAGGAACAGAATAGGGACAACTTCCTCAAAATAAACAATCAGTAAAATGTCAAGGAATAGCCAATCTATGATTCAAAAGTTCTGTGACTCTACTGAAAGCAATGCTTATTTTAGCATTGGAGAAATAGGAAAAAAAACCATGTTTGGTTATTATACATCTAAGTATGAAGATTCCTCACCTTTCTTGCAATTTCTTGAGATTCTCCGGGTCTGTCTTTTTCTTGGTGACTCCCTGTTCATTTGTGAAACCAGAGACAGACATACTGTTTATATTATCATTTTGATTTGGGAATTCTGATACAACAAAGAAAGTGAAAGGTATATTTTCTTGCAGGGACTCAAGCACATGCCAGTGACTTTGTAAATTCTCTCTGGGCAGAGATGAACAAGGAGGAGAATCCACTGAGGACCAGCTGCCTTGAGGCTGCTGCCTTAATAAGAGATCTGCATATAATGGAGTTCCCTGGGGTTGGCTCAGTAGACTAATGTCTTCTGCTCCCATGACATCAAATTCTTGTGCTCTGTTTACTGGAAAATAATCATGGCTTTCAGTATTGGCAAATGGATTCCTACTTCTAATAGCAGGCAGCGGCTGGCAAACACTGAATCTTGGGTCTACAGTGTGACCCAAAGTAGATGACACTGACAAGACTGTTGGAACGTGATCACTCAGAGCAACATGCGTTAATGATCCCGGAGCATTATAAGATGAATTCATGGATGATCTTGAAGCTGTTGGTCTTGCCGAAATTAAGTAGTTTGGAGAATTTCTAGAACCATTTAAATAGTCTTGGCAATCTCTTTCCTGGATACCACCAGGCCCATCATCCATAGAAATGCAGTCACTAGTTACTTTTTTAGCACTGAGATCATTGTGTGGGCTGGAATCGGATTTGGTGTTGCATGAATCAAAGGTCTTTTTCTTATTTTTACTGTCTCTATTGTCACTGTCTTCAGTAGACTCCCCATCAGGCAGTCTGGACTCTTGGAACATCCTTTGCCTGACAGAAGAATGCTTTGTCACTGGCTCCACTGTATCGCTTATTCTTAATGTGCCATTATTGAGCTTGTTTCTTAAAGAATTACCTCTGCGATGTTCAGCGTTTTCCTCAAAATGTTTATTTTTGGCTTGAGAGACAGATGTCCCAAGAAATCTACTTTGTTTACATTCGGAAGGAGAACAGGGAGATTGCATACCACTCCACAAAATTTCTTCTTCGTAGGTTTCTTTTTCGGTGTCACTGTTTTCTCCTTTAGTGTTCAGTGAAGACATGGAATAAAATTCTTCATCCTGGAACCTACACAGTGCCTTTCTTGGCCCTCCCATGGCGGTGGGTGTGAGTGATGGTTCCAAGGATCCACTCAACACCTGAGGACTCCTCATTCCTAGGAAGGTCTGAGTTAGGGCTGAATGAGGCTGGTTCAGGGAAAGAGAAGTTGGGTCTCCCTGTTTGTTTCCTTCAGGGGCATTCCCTGTTTGTGTCCTCATGGGCTGTGAGGATGAGAAATTCCTTCTCTCTTGAGTTGTCCTCTTTGGCTTCATTTTACCTGCCCACATCGAGTCTTCCTGTTGAACTACTGGATCTGCATTGAAAAAGAGACAAATTCATTATTCTGTTAAAATGCCATGGATGATGAAAGGGTTTTGGCCCAAACAGGACACTGTAGCCAGGAAAGCCACAACCGGAAGCAGGAAGCCCCTATTTCCCCTGCCCCTAGGAAGTTACCTGTGATGCCATCTTCCAGCCCTGGAAATTTACATATGGCACCAAACCTAGGATCAGTACATCCCTAATGCCTGCCTTAGGTTCCACCCCAAACCGAGGCTATTTCATGCCCCCACGCCACGTGTCCGCCGGAGAGATCGCCGGATGCCAGTGGTGGGGGTGCCTGTCATCTCTCTCCGTGTTCTCAGAATAAAGGCCACTTTTTATTTTATACTTCTCATCTTTTGGAAATATTTTTCGTCTTTTGGAAATAATCCTAGCAGATGAAACCTTCTACATTAAAAAAAAAAAAAGCCCTAGAGAATAAACTGTACATGACTAAAACAGTGGTAGTTACAGGAGGAGGTCAGCATAGCTGGCTTCTTTTTCTGCTTCTGGGTGGGTTCTTGTGTCCACATCTGTGTAACTCAGGCTGGTTCTGGGGATACAGAGTCTTTCTGTAGAAGCTTCAGCAGGACTGGTCTTGTTCCTGGCTAGTCAGGACTGAGGATAGATACACGTCTCACCAAATATTGGTTTTCATTCCATATTTATTGAAAAAGAAAACCAGCACTCTGGGAATGACTTCAAGAAAAACCACTATTTATTTTTTCATCCAGATTGATCCAACATACATTTATGACTTTTCTGCTTCACACACGGCTTTATGAAAACTTAAGAAAAGTATAATCTATCTTGGCAAATTGGTGGACTGGGAAGAAGTCTCTAGAAGCTGGTGACTGAGTACGCTGATGATGGTGGTCATGCTTATTATTTAATGGAAATAAAAATTATACATCTCTCAAGAAGTCATTAGCCTCTACCAGGCCAGCCGAGGAGAAGCTGCAAGGAAGCCGTGCGGCCTCCCCAACCCCCCAACGCTGTCAGGCAGCCCCAAGGATAACAATGTACAACATAGTAATGGTTGTGGATTTCCTACTGTCTTATCACTGTTTTGGTTTTTTTTTTTCAGTTTACTGTTTTATTCCCTGTAAAATAAAATTTAAAACAAGTGACTAGCCTTTAGTAAGCTCATAATCTCTCACTATTGCTGAATCTTTATCTTTCCTGCCCTCCCAATTCTATAGTATGAAAAGACAGAAGAATGAGGTAAAGGGCCCATTGAGGAGGAATTTCTATTAGTGGGGTTACTTACTCAAAACTTGCCATATACAAAAAATAAAAATCCTCTACTTGTTGAGAATATACACTGAGCAGGTCAGAACCACGATGGGTGTACCAGATATGCAGGTAAACCCCAAAATTTATGAAAGAGGTATCACAATCATACCACATTAGAACTGAGGCACCAAGATCTAGCAAGGCTCACATAACTTGGAATACAAGATTGCACTTCTAGTAACTGATGGAGTGAACATTTGAAGTCAAGCCTGCTTGATACTAGGGTTTGCATTTTTTTTTTAAATCGGTACTGGGGATCGAACTCAGGACCACACACTTGCAAGGCAGGCACTTATGCCGCTGAGCTAAATCCCCAGCCCCAAGGTTTGCATTCTTAACCACCACCCTGTGTTTATTATCCCTTGAGACACTGGCTGGATTTCCAATTTCCTCGTGAAAATCAGGACCCATGGAATTTATGGTGGTGTGTGTAGTTGAGGGTTTTTTACTCTGACAATGTGGGTAGAAAATCGAAAGTACTAGCCTGATTCCTTCTCTTTGTCCTGATGAGCTGTCTGGTGCACACCTCCCCGATCCCCACCCCTGCCCTACCCTGCATTCCCTTCTCTGTGCTTTAGCAAATCTGATGATGCTCTGCTGTCCTTATCACTTAGTTTTTAAAGCAGTTCCCCTGTCGAGTGGACAGGACTCCAGGGGTCCAGGAAGGTCTGTGATAACAGCTCTGCTGGGGAAATGTAAATCCTCTGAGTGGCCAGCTCAGCCAAGGCCAAGTCAATACTGACTGGCTTTAATTGAGGCTGTTCACTGGGAAGCCCTGGGTTGAATCTCTAGTGTCCTAATACTCTGTAAGCTTCTTTTATTGTTAGCTGCATGAGACACATAGTGACACAGTGTGAATCTTTACTCATCAGCTCTTCCAGAAATCAGTTAAACTCTCCTACCAGGCCCCTCGTGGGGTTTTATAAACCCCAGGAAGAGATGTATCTGCAATTTAAGGACATTTTAAATACCTGGCTGTCTATGAGGAGTGGAGCTGGCTTGCCCACCCTACCAGGCTGATCTACATTTGAAGACTGATGCTTCTAGGTAACAAACTGAATTTGTTTGCTTGAAAAGAAAATGATATAAATTTAAGTGTAGGCTCTGATTGCTTGCTTTTCATTTTGAATTTGAAGAAAGGCTTCAGAAGTCAGCTAACAGTGCCAGAACCTGATGCTTCCGGTGGGTCCCTGAACACATGTATCCTGCTAGAGGATGCGGAGCTCCCCGCTTTTCCCGCTGCCTCTGACCGGTTTAGCTCAGGTTTCAGAACAAGGAAGGGGGAGAAATTCACTGGGCAAAGGAATCTGCTAGGTGACTTCTGAAAAACAAACTGGAAACTCATCAAGAAGGAAGTTCATTTTATGGAAGCTTCCCACTGAGCTGTCTTGGGGTAACGAGAGGACAACCTTGTGGTGAAGCTCTCACGGCACCCTGAAACCCATCAAGGAGAGAGTCTTCAGCTTTCCTTGATACCACAACTACTGTCTTCCTCTTTAAAAATGCAATCAGAGCTTCTCTGGTGTGTGTGTATGTGTGTGTGCTCTCTCTAAAGGTGGTAGACTGCATCATTCTATATTTATTCTATTTTAACCCCATTTTTTTTGTGTCTATCAAAGTGGGAGCAGATTTCAATAGCTCTGGGGTTGGGAATAAACACTGCAATTGCTATGCCAGGGATGTGTTATTCATAGCGCAGGTCCTGCAGATGGTGGATGCTTCCCTGAGGCTCTGCCTGGGCTCCAGCTGTGGATAGAGGTGGCTGCTATCTCCAGGAGTTCTAGGCACACAAAATGAAACTGGAATAAGTGTTTGCTTGCCCTAAAACTAGGCATTTGGTCTGGATTTCCTTATCCTACATTCCAGGGGCCTTGTACTTTTTATTCTTTTCTTCTGGCTATAAAAGTGGTCTGTGGTCATTGGAGAAAATTTGGAAATGATGGCAGAAGAGGCAATAATCTAAGTATACTTATAACCAAAAGCTCAGATGACCATTGTTAATGCTCTGGACTTCCGGGGGTGGGGGTGGAGGTGGGTGGAGTTCCAGCTCAAGGTCTCTGGGTCATTTTCATCCTGCTTCAGCTCAGCATTTTAACAATGAATTAAATGTCTTGAGGTGCTTCACCACGGGCCTCAAAAGTGTTATGTTTCCTTCCTTTTATACTACCTGTTCCTGAAATCACTTGAATTTACAGTGCCGAGCTCCCTTAGCCATAGGTGCAGTGGGACCTTGGTTCATGAACTTAATTTGTTTTCCAGTTTTGGGGAAGATGGCCAGATTTGTGTTTGTGGGGCTGTGGTTGTGTTTCTTATCAGATGTAGTTTGTGAATAGAAGCAAAATTTTGTTGAACAAAATTTTGTTTGAGAACCAAATTGTTTGAGTACAGAAGTATTCATGAAATGAGGTAATACTATACTTTTTTCAAAAACAAAATTGTGACATTTCTGTAGATACAACTATATGTCTTATTTTCTTTCCCCAAACATTTATGTGCATTATCTCAAGTCATTAATGATTCTTTAAGAACATTATAAGTATAGTATAAGGTACATTGCATGAATATATCATAGTTTGTTTAACTCTTCCTCTGTTGCTGGGTATATAGGTTGTCTTGTGATTTTATCAGTATGCAACCCACATTGATAAATAGCCTTGCTTATATATTAGCATAGATTCGTGGAAGTGCAATTGCTAAGTCAAAAGTCATAAACTTTCTAGAGAATTTTGACACATTTTGCCAAATTACTTCCCAGGTGGTTTGTACCAAATTATCCTCCAGGTGGGATGTGAGAATGTCTCTTATAACTATGTCACCAGCAATCAATAGAACCTGACATAGCATTGCTAGGAAGTGTGAGTTGTTAGTTTTACTATCGCTATTAAACACCATTTGTAAATATTAACCAGTTTGATAAGCCAAATTTAACTCACATGTGAGTTTATATTTATTACCTACTGAGGCTGAACTTTAGAAAAATGTTTATTAACTATGAATATTTCTTTTGCAAAATTGTCTGTTATACTCCTTGTTTTTCTATTAGGTATTCGTGGTTTTTAAATTTGATTTGCAAGAGCTTTTGGTCACATTTTCTCCAATTGCTCACTGATTATCATTCAAAGATTTGGTTCCTACTTCAATTATGCAAGCCAGGGTAGAATGGAGAAATAAAAGGGAGCTGATAATTGGGGAGAGATAAGGATCCTTGAGGTAATAGAAAAGGTATTTTTCAGTGGCTTACAGAATTATAGAGAAGTCTTTTGGGTGCAGACGGAGGATATAGTGTGCCCATGGGTTCAGGAACATTTTATGCATAAAGAACTTCACCCTAGACGGGATTTAGCTCCGCGGCATAAGCGCCTGCCTGGCAAGCACAAGGTCGTGAGTTCAATCCCAGAACCAAAAAAAAAACAAAAAAAAAAAACAAAACAAAACAAAACAAAACAAAAAAACTTCACCTTTTGAATAATATCTGAGAACTCATGGAGAGCCTCTGGAGAAAAACTAATAACAGTTCAGTACTTTCTTTGTGGGATCCACTATATGCCAGAACTGGTATATCTATTATTTTGTTTCATTTTTATAACAGTGTAGCACAATAGATCTCATTATTCTTATTTTAGGCAGGAAATTGTAGCCCAGAGTAACTGTATGACCATCCAGGACCCCATTTCAGGAAGAAGAATTGCAACGTTAGAACTGAGGTCTGCACTTCTTAGTTGGGGGTATCTCCTAGCTATAGGTTCCTGTGGACTCCAATTGTTTCTAATTCTGAGACATCTAAACTCTCCCTTGTTCTTCTGCATGTATGCATCCACCAGTATCCATCGCGTTGATATATGAAGGCTGCAATCTTCATTATTTATTTTTATTCTATGTGTCTATTTATTATACCTTACTCTTAATCTGCAATTCCACCCTTTAATAGAACAAATTTGTATCACTGATATGTAACATTTAGTTGTGTGATTTTTTTTTTGAGAAACTGTTTCAGATTGGCTACTTTACCAGTCTATTACTAGAGTAAAATAAATTCAATTTAACATCACTTGCTGTCTACTTTTAGTAACAATGGTGTGCAATGTTTGGCGGCTTCTCTAAGAGAAATGTTGGCTGTGACATGTCTCTTCCCTTGAGTCATTAGGTCCTCATCTCCTTCCCTTTTTGCTACCACAGGAAAAGGAGGCAGGGTTAGTAAAGCATGTGACATGGGCCTTTGGACAGAAATTTAGAAAGAGGAGGCCTCCGCTAAGCCAGTATTTAGGAATAAGGCATATGTTCTTTTTGATGTTATTTCTTACACATTAAGATCTTGCCCTGGATCAGAGGGGAAATCCTGGGAAAGTGCGGTGGGCCATTGATCCATCTGCCACCTTTTGGCAGATGGCTATCCACACCCTTTTGGAGGGTGAGTGGGAACTATGGCCAGGTGGGACCTTCCCAGAGCTGTAAGCTGCTTCTCCACTTCTCTCTATCCTGCACCTACTCAAAGTCATGAACAGTCAGTCATGCTTATAAAGAGAAAGAAAAATGAAAGACCAATGCCCTGCTCCCTTTCCCATATCCCTGCCTAGGAGAATGAAAGCTGAGATGAAGTAGTTTTCTTTTAAACTCCTTTAAGCACTTCATTAAAAGGCAATTGCCCAAAACATGTAAACACAAACATCTAAACATCAGAAAGAAATCACCAGATAACAACACAAGTCTATCTTCTTCCCCAAAGACCAAACTGTGGCAGCTACAGTTCTTACCTGATCCCCAGAGAGCTGGTGCCGTTGCTGGTGGCTGCCGTTTCTGTCTGCTTCTGTCCTCAGACACTCTTAAACTGTGCATCTCTGGACTGACTGTCAAGCTCCCCAGGGTTGATCTCACCTTCCTTGGTAAGATCTTTGGTACTTCTGCCATAGAAAGGTACAAAGTCTTTTCAATAATTAACTTTTTGTAGGAAAACGTCTTCCATATTTAAAATGCAATGTGGAAGGGAAGTGGTATAGTTAAGAGAATGGACCCAGGAGATCAGAGAGAGACAGATTTGAAACCTGACTCACTCCCTAGTTTAGGGGAATTGCTTACTTCCCGAAGCCTCAGTTACCCCACTTGTTATTTGGAAATAACGATACTTAATTCATAAGTTTGTTATTACTGTTAATGGGCACCCACGACATCAGCAATACTGGGGCTACAGAGGCCCTTTCTTTGCTAAGAAGTGTCTGCCTTTCAATCCATGGATGTTGCATGAGCCTGTTGGTAACATGGATGTGTCAAGAAGGCTTTTGGGACGCACAATGGCCTTGCTCCCCAAGTTCTCAGCCAGGTTCAAATCACAACACACTTTGTGCCTCTGTATTTATGTGTTGCTTATTAGCAGGAAACATGGTCTTACAGGAAGGTTCTGAGAATTTGGGACCAAATACCTTTTTTCTTGCTCATGTCCCCCTCACTGCCATACCAGACTGGAGGACAGTAGCTGTGTGTGCTACCATGGGGTGAATCCCCAGGGCGACCTTTGAAAGTTCACATATGGAGTTAGGTTGTTAGCTGGTATGAATGCCAAGTTTCTTCTTCTCGTACATTAAGCCTCACACAAGCATGTGGATGTGGGGGAAATTTCCATGTATCTCTGTAAGTTCTTGGGTTCGAAGGGCAGTTAAGTCATAATACCTGCACTGAATCCCCTAAGAGAGTTTGGTTCATGGGCTTTTAGACAATTTATGAGTTTCACAAACAGATGCAGTAAAGCTGGGTGAAGCTGGGACGGATCCCTGACTGGCACATGTGAGGACTGCCTCTCTTGACGTGTGGAGACAACCAGATTTATGTTTCAGGGTGTAGGTTGTAATTGTATGAAAGTTTCCATCCAAATTCAAGGGAGAGATGGAAGTTCTCTCTGGCAGCCCATGGAGCCTATTTTAATCCAACGTTGGGTTTTACTTGCTCCTGACAGATCTTGGGGGATGGGGGAGACAGTAGTTCTGAGCTTCAGGACGGGGAATGATGCTCCACAGAGAACTGACTATTGGAGAGTGTTGCTGTCAGTGGCAGGAGTCCAAAGAGGGTGTGTCCAGAAAAGAGAAGAGAGCGCAGAAATTCTCTGGAAAAGAAGCGTATATTCTTCAGCAGGTGCAGAGTGGTGATTCATTAAGAGTGGAGAGAGAAGAGTGGGAGATAAAGGAACTGGGTGCTCTAAGTAATGGATGTGCCACAGAAGATGTGGGAGGAGCATTCTCAGCACGCTAAAGTGCATTCCTTGAAGGCAGAGCTTTTATCTCATCACCTGAGGCCTTAGTTCTCTCTCTCTTTTAGAGATCAACCTTCTTGTGGGAGGCAGTTTTAGGATTCTTATTGAGGAAGAAGCTGGAGAAGGGGCGGGCTTGGGGCTCAGGTCAGGCCCAAGTCAAGACCTGTCCTAAAGGTTCTGCTGCGGAGGATTGTACCCCGATTCCCGGAACACTCACATTCCCTCCACGCCCAGCAGCAGAACGTCATGCTGCCTGCAGCCCTGCACACCCACCTTCTAGGGTGTGACCTTTTCTCCCTGAAGTCCTTTTTCTTCCCCAGCCAGCACCAGCCAGCTGGTCTTTCAAGAAATGGTTTTATGTCAACCAAATCTGCTTTGACTCTGCCTTTTGCAGAGCCCTTATTTTGTTTTTAAAGTGCCCTTTAGCATTAGTTACTTAATGTTTAGTAAACTCTGTGGAGAATAGAAGCACCTTTAGGACAAACACCATCCCCAGCCAGTCTGGGCACTGCCTCACACCGCTGTGCAGCATTACTAAGTGCCACGTACGATTTGCAGGGCTCAAGAAGATGCACTCAGCTCTCAACTATGGGAAACTTCAAATCAGAATACACTTGAAAAAAAACCCCTAAGATTACTTATGATAAAAGGTCATTTTTATTGTTGCTCAAAAAGCTGCTTTCTTCAAAGAATCAGATCTCTTAAATGATTTCTAAAACTATTACCATGTCTCCTCTAATCAAGTTCTCAGTGGACTAAAGTAATAAACACTTAGAGATTGTTTTACCAGACCTGGAAGTGAAGTAAAGCCACAATCTCCTGACCTGTGGCAATTTGAGCCTTAGTGCCTGCAACTGTAAAATGAGAGTATAGTGATACTTTGGTCGTTGAACTCTATTCATTCATAATTCCTCTTGAACATGGGAAAGTTCAAGAACTAAACGAATTTTTTTTCCCACAAGAAATAATAGAAAACCACATATTTGGTTCTGAGGCCCCCAAATTACACTTATAAATTTATTTTTCTAGGACCTTAATACATTTTGCAATAATTTCCTTCTTTAACTTTATTACAGTTTTCATTTGCTTTTAGCTTTACAGATGTTATTACTTTCTTTGGGGCTATGGCTACAATATTTTATGCAAACTAAAAAAAAGCATGATAAATGTTCTAGGGCACTAACTCAAGCACTACATGCTGTGAGAGTGGCACTTAAGACTGAAACATCACCCTGCTGTGCCCTTTGTGTCCTTTGTGACTCGATGCCTGACTTGACTTTCTGCTGGTACAAGTTTTTTCATCAGATTTTTTGTTTGACTATCAAACACAATTACACACACTGAACATATTTGTTGTTCCAGTAGCGGAAAGTTGGAGCTTGGAGTTTAGTGACTGAGCTATCACTGTAAGTTACTGTAACATTTAGCAATAATGTATATAAATGGTCTAATTCAGTCTTTGATGCTGATAAGCTATTGAAAATGATAGCTGCTTTTTCTACTATAGAGTAATAATACGAATACTCCTAATAATGGGAAATCTGAGGTCACTCCCATGAGAGACATGAATTTGACCAGAAATATATTGCTATTCAGGTTTTGCAGGTTAAGAATAACTTATTCAGCAGCCTTCATTCCTGTGTGTTCTTGTTGATTCACTCCCCAGTCTTCTTTTATAAAATCCAAAAGGCAAATAGCAACTCTTCTTATAATAATTTGTTCAACAAATACCTGTGTGCTCTTGCTATGCAATAGTTTGAAAGTTCAGAAAAGATGAGTAGGATATTTTGGCCATGACCTTAAAGATTATGATCTAATTTGGCTGCAGTGATGATTTCTTCCTGTGATAGCCTTTAGATTCTATAGAAAGCAAATTCTGGCAAAGTGATTTTTTCTTCTCTATCTACAATCACAGGGACAAATGAGATAATCTTGCACAATTACATAATTTGCATACATGTGTTTAAGAGTTTCAAACATTCATCACTTATACCAAGTTGCTAATCACATTACTCACATGGACTGTGAACCAAATTTCAGACCTTTGGGACCTTTCTAAGATGGGACTTCAACATAGCATGGTGTATATATTATTCTGCAGGAAACCCAACTCATATTTACAGTGTAGATGAAATATAAGTTCCTCTTCAGGTAGTACAACACATTTTTTTTTGCCTTATAGAAAAGGGAAACATGTGTGTTCAATTCATCGTGAAGTAACTCAATATCTTGCTTGTCAGTGAATTTGGGGAAGGCTGTGTTTTGCTCTGGATAACATACAGTCCATACTGTCTTGTATTGCTTCAGCAGGATGATACCTCTGGTACCAAAGAAACTGAACAGTTACATCAGTAAAGGGGATTTACCTCAATTCTTCTGATAATGCTAGGAAATCATGATTGTTAATGGAATAGTTCTTAATCTGACCAGGAAAGGAATAACATGTTTATATTTATATTTTTATTTATATAAATATGAACAACATGCTCATATTTATATAACACTCTGACTACAGAGAACCAAGTCCATTCACCTGTCTACCTTTCTTCTGTACATCTAATTGTCCTCACATCCCTTGCCATACCCAGACACGGTTCTTGATAGACAAAATTGAAAAAGAGGAAAATATAATTCCTGAAATTTTATTTTCCCTAGCACTACTTTGATCAGGATTGCTGGTGCCAGGGAGATGCCAAGATTCCTTCTAAGATGCTGCTTTGGAAAATGTATTGCTCCTTTTGGATTTTGGGAAGAATTACAGTCAGTGTTGTTTTGGCACAACAGGCAGCTTTCTGTATAGTCAAAAATAATAGGTCGAGTCTATTTGCCTGTTTGAGTGCACTGCACTAAAAATGTGTATCGTCTCATATACCCAGAGGAGATCTTAATTAAAGCCTAATTATGCACCATAAATATGTTTTATTTGGATCTCAGGAGGTGGGATTTTTGATTTTAGGAAATGCAATGCTTAATAAGTAGTCAGGAAAGGGAATGTAAACATTGACTGAGCCCTTTAATTTTTCCCTCCTCAGTGCGGTTCTGGATGGGTTTTCAGTTCCACTGTGTGCTTTCAGAACAAGCTGCCCGGTGCCACCCTCTCAGGGTGGCCTCGGCATGTGCTCATTCACACAGCCAAGGGTATGATCAGACACAGGAGAACCTACTGGGGTTCTGGTGGTGACGTTCCAAAGAGTGCCAGACGTAGAAATTAAGAAATCAAATGAGCCTCTGGAGATGATGGGCTTTTATTAGACGTTTGCTCCAGTTACACTAGAAGAAGCTGAGCCCGAGGAAAGCAGCAGTGCTGTCCCATCTTCCTGCTCCCCTGGGCACCACACCTCCTGGGATTGTTCATGGCATTGACTTCTGGCCCTTCTCCTGTCCACCTGCCTTCTGCCATCTCTCTCTGCCTCACTCCACTGTGCTGTGCGCCTTGCCAGAGGTGACCTACCACACGAGGTAGATTTTGCTGGGTCTTCTGGGGCCAGACAGCAACAGCACAGGGGTCTCAGATGGAGTTGGGCAGGAGATGGGGAAGTAACAGAGAGATGCGGGAGACCCGTGCACGGGTTCTGGGGAGGCTGAGACTGGGCTTGTCACGTTGGGAAAGATAATTGGAGGGAGGTTCGTGGAAGGGCCCCGGGCTGCCGGGGAGGCAGG